TTGAATTCCTTAAATATTAGATTCTTTAAATTGTCGCGCGTCTTTAAATCCCCTACCGACACGTTCGTTAAGTTCACTATAGGTGAAATGTGTTGTAACGGTAGCCAAGGCCGAAGTGTCACCACCCAATAACGCCTTGTGTGAGTCCCCCAAGGAAGATCACGACAAGAAGAGCGCAACAGCAGAAGTCTTTGAGCGTAAGTAGTGCAACATATTTAGGGCAACAAACGAGTGTAAGCTAGGTCCATCGAGCCAATTAGCTTCTCTCCTGGCGTAGGCGCCGGCACGATTAGCTGGTGACTCAATGACTGAATGTAGCTTGAAATTTAAATTATTAATTGATTGTCTGGCACGATGCGTTCGCTCGCGTGTAGGCCGATCGATAGCCTGCTGTGATCGTGGCTGCTTGCTGCCTGTATGCTAGCCGTTAGGTCCCTCCTAACAAAATGAAGTATCGTTTTGTCCGCTAAGAAGAGAATTAACAGAAAGATGAAATGTAATTCACCTTAGCTAGTTATATTTCTTGCAGGCGACTGAAAGTTGCGCTGCGGTTGTTTGTTTGTCTGGAGCATTACCAGTTTTAAAATATTGCTTGCCACATCGTTACCAGCCGCCCCCCTCGGCATTTTCTGCAGCTTATTATTCTTTCTGTTTTATCTCCACCTTTTCGACTACTCTTTTTTTTCAACCTTTATCTCCCTCGTCTGCTGACAGCGTGCTGAAACTTCGTGCATATAAATAAAGCCAGCCATTTCTTATGCTGACAATTACATTGCGACTAATTACTTCCAACGTTTGTGCTTAGATTTGAATTCCACAGAACAGCGGCCATTCGTTTATCTTGGCACAATGTTTCTGTTGTTTGTGCTTGCTCTGCTTGCCTTAAGTTGATGAGTATAGGAAAATGTTCTTTGAATTATCCCGGAAAGCCATTTTTTCGAAATGATGGTGCCGCTACTTTCATGGTTAACACTAGTTGTAATTATGATTAACATCACAGATAAAGACAAAGGAGAATTGAATGGTCATTTTGGGTTTATTAACTGTCACCAACCAGCCTCACTCGAGGCTCGAACTCGCGACCTTTACTTAGAAGCTTAGCGCCCTGCATATAGTATTAGTTCGTGTGCGGCTGCTGGCGGGTTCGCGAATGAGCCCCAAGGCAGATCGGGACGAGTGAGTCCCGTAATCACCAATGCTAATTATGCTTCTGACCGTAATAATGGCAGTGGTGATTACAATGCTGCTTATGGCGCTGGTCGTGGCGAGGATTTTGGTTGTAGTGATGATGATGATGACGACGAGGATTATACTAATTGCCTACCCTACTGTCATTCAATTGCCGAGGTCTCCTCTGCTCCAATTCTACTCTGTCGTATCTACTGATTCTGCATTTCTTCTCTGTCACGCCAGTGTTGTCCTCTCATTTCACATGGGGGCATCTGCTCATCTGTGTAGCTGATATTTTCGCTTCCTTCTCACCGACTTTCTCATTCCCAATCCTTCACTACCGTCATCTCTCTGGCAGGTTTACGTGGTAGAAGTTTCGGCCAACGTAAGTACTTGCGTTCGTCGCAGCGAGGGACGGCGATCCAAGGAGGACATTTTGCAGGTTAGGCTTTTGATATGCGTTTAATAACTTATCTTGTCTTACCTTTCCGGCAACTGAAGGTCCGCTAAAACAACCTCCATTTTATCTTGACTCCTAGATACACGAAAACTGGGAACCCACGCCCAGCCGTTTTGTTTTGGTTGACGCGAATTCTCTGCAACAGGAAATTTCGTCCGAAGAGGTATTTCTATCCGTTTTCTTCGTCGGTTTATTGAGTTGCAGTTGCGCTGGATGAGGATATGGCATAGAATTTCATGTCATTTTACTAACGTCGACATATCTCGTGAGCTGCTGTTTTAACCAAATAGCCTGAATCCGACCTTCACAAATATCGACCTTTACAATATCGTATTTATCGATGTATTCTTGGAGTAGTCGTGAATGTTCCCAGCTAGATATTCACACTGCGACATATTCCCGAATTTCGCCATGACTGCTGGCAACTCAGGATCGCTCATTTTATTAACTTATCTTGGTTTCCCATAGTGAGTAGTACAACTAGGCGGCACATCTCTTCTACTTCAAGGTCTTTCGCCTCAATGCACACGAGCACACCCATAACACAAATTATTGGTATTTAAAGTGGAACCCGACTCTACCTCTTCCTCCTAGTTAAAAGCTGGTTATTGCTTTGCTGTGATTCTCACTTGGCCACCTTTTGTTGAAGGTGGAAATGGATTCGGATAGTGAGAACGTGGAAGGCGAGTCGAACGAACCGCCGCGTTCGGCACAGAATGCGCCAGGGCCAAAGGCGGTACCCACTGCTGATAAGGAAGACGAGGAAAGCCTTTCAGAGGCCCTCTCCTGGGGCATGATGCGGAGCAAGTGGGACAGAGAGGACAATGCCGATCGTATCGGTATGCCCATGCACTTTTCCATCTTTATCCTTGCCCATGAGCTATCGTTTCAGGTGTCTAGCTTATAACTCATTGAATCCACCCGAATATTTTAAACATGTTCCAGTACGTCATTTTGTTCTCACAAACGAGGTCTTTGTACATCAAGTCGAACGCGATTTTCCAAATAATTTCTTAATGGCTGTCTAGTAAGTGTATCATGGTCCCCTAGAACCTGATAGTAGTACCACTGTCTGTTTCAGTTCATTTCATGTTAAATCGTTTTTTTCTCCCCTGACTGCTGTCAACTTCTGACTTAGTATTTATGCACTGTTTAGAACGACTGGATGGCCTGAAACGTCGTATTGTACACCATTCCGCCTCCTCGGATCTTCTTACTATGTCAGACTACCTAAAGGAGAGCGAAAGAGAATTTCCTGCCCGCCAACCTGGTATAAAGCGGGTAAGTG